TCTATCTGTCTGTCTGTCTGTCTGTCTGTCTGTCGGTCTATCTATCTATCTATCTATCTATCTATCTATCTATCTATCTATCTATCTATCTATCTCTCTGTCTATCTGATTGTCTGTCTGTCTGTCTGTTTGTCTATCTATCTATCATCTATCTATCTATCTGTCTATCTGTCTGTCTGTTTGTCTATCTATCATCTATCTATCTATTTGTCTGTCTATCTGTCTGTCTGTCTGTCTGTCTATCTATCTATCTATCTATCTATCTATCTATCATCTATCTATCTGTCTATCTGTCTATCTGTCTGTTTGTCTGTCTGTCTATCTATCATCTATATATCTATATATCTATCTATCTATCTATCTGTCTGTTTGTCTGTCTGTCTATCTATCATCTATCTATATATCTATCTATCTATCTGTCTGTCTGTCTGTCTGTCTGTCTGTCTGTCTATCTATCATCTATCTATCTATCTATCTATCTATCATCTATCTATCTGTCTGGCTGTCTGTCTGTCTGTCTGTCTGTCTGTCTGTCTGTCTGTCTATCTATCTATCTATCTATCATCTATCTGTCTGTCTGTCTATCTATCATCCATCTATGTATCTATCTATCTATCTATCAATCTATCAATCTGTCTGTCTGTCTATCGTCTATCAATCTATGAAAACCTTGAATGCAAACATTAATGCAAAAATACATCTTAAAGAACAATTTTAAAATAGTGTTCTGCTCTCCAATATATTCACAAACACACTGAAAAAAATTTTCATTCATCAAATTAAAAAAATGTAGAGTAATGATTCCGGTAATAAAACATTTTTTTCAGTGAGGCCCGTTGTGCGGTCGTTGGCATTATGCGCGAAAAACATCGATAACGCATTCTGAACATTACTGTAAAATTAGCTGGTTTAAAAATGCGGGTTGTTCATTGCACAGTTAAAGTTATTCGATCCAGACACCTCCCGGTGCTATGCGTATTGGAATTTTGGGTAACACTTTACTTGAAGGGGTGTGCATAAGACTGACATGACACCTTCATAATCATGACATGACACATGTCATGAATATGAAGGAGGTTTTATGCATGTTTATGACAACTGTCATTAAGTGTCATTCGCTCAGTTATGTTATTTTTAATGCAAATATGACATTATTTGACCTAACGCTACTCCTAACCATAGCCCATAACAAAGACATCTCAAACAATGTCATCTTTGCATTAAAAATTACATAACTGAGCGAATTACACTTAATGACAGTTGTCATAAACATGCATAAAAAACCTTCATATTCATGACATGTATCATGTCATGATTATGTAGGTGTCATGTCATGATTATGAAGGTGTCATGTCATGATTATGCACACCCCTTCAAGTAAAGTGTAACCGAATTTTGTAATCCCAATCACAGATTATGAACAGATAATTTAGTCTACACATCAAGCATAGAGTACATTCCAATTGGGTTGTTGTTTTTTTTATGTTTTATGGGAAAGTTCTATAGACATAATGATTTTTTTATACTGTACAAACTGTACATTCTATTTCCTAACCCTAATGTAACCCTGTTATGGGTAGGTAATGAAAGTGAAAGTGAAAGTGACGTGACATGTGGCCAAGTATGGTGACCCATACTCGGAATTAGTGCTCTGCATTTACCCATCCAAAGTGCACACACACAGCAGTGAACACACACAAACCGTGAACACACACCCGGAGCAGTGGGCAGCCATTTATGCTGCGGCGCCCGGGGAGCAGTTGGGGGTTCGGTGCCTTGCTCAAGGGCACCTCAGTTAATGTTTCTATCTGAAGTTAATGTTTCTATACCTAAACCTACCCATAAGAGAAGATGACCAAAAAAAATCTCCCCACATAACGTATTATTGAAAAATCCAGACGAGACGAGACTGGTAAATGTTATCATCATGGAACTGTTCAGTCTATTATTGATTTTTATTTCCACAATACTAATAGGCTACCTAGAAATAATATGTTAGCATACTGTAACTCGCATTAAAGGGGTCACATGCAAGTCGCAGCAGCACGAATTATGTGCCCAGCAAAATCTGATTAAAATATTATGCGTAATTAACAGTGAGTGGTGGTTTCAGACATTATAGTGCCGCACTCGTACTGACTCTTCTTCTGCCTGAAAGAATGAAAAGGCCGAACTGAAGGCAGAGCGATTCGACCAATCAGATGAAAGGGGCGTTTTAGCGCCGCCCACACGTGTGAATGAAACATTGAACCGATTTTTAAACCCCAAACGAAAAATGAGAAATCGAGCCAAAATCTCATTTTCCATTTGTTAAACTATTTCTCATTATTATATTCCAAATAGGAGATAAAATGATCAAAACGTATACGAACGTTACTCAAAGAATGTAATATATTACTCATTACTAGTTACTCATTTCAAAAGTAATATTGTTACTTTACTTATTAATTTCTGGCAACAGTAATTAGTTACACTACTAGTTACATTACTTTTTCTTCACACTCCACAAAAGTTGTAACTGTGTATCTTCCACATACAATTCTAGTGATTGATAGCGACATTCAAGTAGAAGTGTTGTATTAATCTCATTAATTGTCATGTGTAGCTTGAAGCTAATTGTCATTTCTCCATTACCCATATACGATTATATCTCATTAAGTTTGTAAGAAACTTTAATTTTCCAAAAAGATTTTTAATTATAGTAATATAATTTATCACATGCCGATCAGAGGGATGTGGGTGGGATGTAATGCCAGAGTAAAGTAAAGCCACAACTTACACAAAAGTGCTCAGAATCATATTTTTTCCTTACAAAATCAATATAATGCAATATTTCTGTCTGCTGAATGTAAGCTTTTCCATATTCCAAGCTCGCCTGCTGCACTGGGGACATCACATGCATGTGCGAGTCGTGAAAATTATGAAAATAAATTTAGGAATTATTTGATTGTTGGATTGTTGAATTGTTGGATAATCAGCAGGGATGAGGCATCAAAAGCAACTAAGTAACTAAGCTGTTTTATGGATGGTAACCGTAATATTATTACTGAAATCTTATTAGTAATTAGTTACACTACTACACTCTAAAAAATGCTGGGTTAAATTCAACCCAGTGCTGGGTAAAATAGGGACAAACCCAGCAATTGGGCTGTTTTGACCCAGCGGTTGGGTTACTACCCAGAAGGCTGGGTTAAACATTTAACCCAACCGCTGGGTCAAAACAGCCCATGCAGTCGAAAGGAACAGATTACCGGAGTCTAACACATTTAAAAATTTTGAACAGTTTGTCTAACACAGGTTTACATAGATCAGCAATTATGATACAGCACAAACTTGATTAAAGGGGTCATGCATTTTTTTTGCATTTTATTATGTTCCTTGAGGTTTAATTATAAAGTGTAGCATTTGGACCAATCAGACACACAACTTTTTGTTATATTTAACAAATAATATCTAACTCAAATCACGTGTAGTGATTTTGCATTAAATAGAAATATTAAACAATTTTCTGGCATGTAAGCTTATGAGGAACCACTGGAAAATTTCACTTCTGATTTTTTTCTCTTTTTTCAGTGTCAGACGTTTGTCAAAATATTCATTTATTGAATTATAATAAAAACACTGCTATGAAATTTGCATAAAGTGCAATTTGATAAAGTGTTCTAACCATGTTCTTGTTTTAAGGGGAGAAGAATATGGCCCTGTCTTCAGAATGAACAGTTTTCACCAAACCATGATCGCAGTTCATTGCCCTGAGGCTACAAAGGTAAATGTTTAATCTAATTTCATTTCATTTATGTTCAGAATCAGAAGCCAAAAAAATCTAAAAAATAAATAAATTACAAAAAAAAAACACTGTTGTGTTATTGTAGACAATCCTGATGTCACCTAAGTATCTCAAAGATCCCTTTGTCTACAAACGCCTCTTTAACTTGTTTGGAAAAAGGTAAGCTTTCATTTCTCTTGGATATGTCATAGCATTGCTAGGTGTAGTCTACATTGATACATTGAGTAAATTAAAAGGGGTGGTATGTGGCACTTTTTATTCCACTGACTTCCATTCATGTGCATACAAATGCAGGAGATCACAAACATAAGCTAATGCGAATTTTTGCAGCGTTCCAAAGTTCAATTTGTATCATGATATCTATTAGCGGCCCCATGTTTGATAGCTTTAAATCCATCAGTATGCATCATATGTGTGTTTGATTGGAGGAGACAGTAATAGAAAATATGACAATATAGAAGAGAAAATTAATCTAACCTTTTCGTAGGGTCCTCAAATCTAACCCGTTCTTATTCAAATTAATTAAAAAAGATAAAAAACTGATTTATTAACAAATAATGGAAACTAATACATGTGTAATGGTAAACCATGTTGAACATTTGTCAGTTTGTTTTACAGAGTGTTGTAATTTAAAGAAACACTATTGTCACACTGAAGCAAACAATATGTTATCATGGGTTTCTAGGTTGCATCCAAAATTGCATACTCTCTGAATGTGCCTCTTTTGATTAAGTAATTACTTTGTGACTGCTAAAACGTGCTGTATGTTCTATATGATATGTACTGTTTACTACTATAGTCAGGATGTGTGTGATTTCGGATGCAGTCATACTGTTTACATAATAGGGCTATCCTTTAATTACAGATTAATTAACTACATGTCAAATTAATTACATGATATACTGATTAATTCATCAAAAAAAAAAATTTGCAAGGTAGGTCATGGTGTAACCTGAGCTGAATTAAAAGAAACTCAAATCTCTCAGGTTCATGGGAAATGGGCTAGTAACAGCTGCGGACCATGACGTCTGGTACAGGCAGCGTCGCATCATGGATCCAGCTTTTAGCAGCACGTGAGTTAAGAACATCTCTGATATACTGAAATGAGATAGAGATGCACCTCAGCTGATGCTGTCTTATCTGTCAGATACTTACGAGGCTTGATGGGCACTTTTAATGAGATGTCAGAGCGTTTAATGGACCATCTGGAGGAAATAGCCAACACTAAAACGCCTACCATCATGCATGACCTGGTCAACTGTGTCACACTCGACGTCATTTGCAAGGTTTCACTCTTCTTCCCGCTTATTCAAAAGGAAGACAGCAACAATACTACAGCGAGAATAAAGGTTACGCCTACTTACTTTGCGTGAACATTTGGGCGGCGTTATGCAAATCTTCCTCCCAAATCTTACGACCCTATTGAATTCCATGGTGTTCTGTAGGCCTATCAGGAGTCCAGGACATAATAAAAAAAATATCCGGTCCTTGGCATAAAAATTAAAATTAGAAACTTGGAAACTAAAACTTAAAATTTGGAAACTAAAGCCCTGTTTCCACCGCAGGAACTTTCACCAGGAACTAGGGACTTTGGGCCGGTACTCGATGTGTTTCCATCGCAGGAACCAGGATCTAAATAAAGATTGGGGTAAAAATGTACCCCTCAGAAAGTCCCTGCTCGTGAGGTAGTACTTTTCCAAAGGTTCCCGGGTGCTTTCGGGGGCGGGACTTGGGCGGTGAACAGATTGGTTGAGTTCACGCAGCATTGTATTTCAACCACCATACATTCGCATATTTTTTTTAAAATATATTACTGTTATTGTGTCATGAAATGTAGTTTTAAAAGTATTTCAGGCGAGAATGTAGTTGTTTAAAACTCAAATCTGCGGTTTATTTATAAAGACGGCGCCTATTTGAAAATGTGCTTCGCCGATTTCGGAGACGTGAGCTCCATGTGATCAGCGGGCGCTCAGTGCTCATGTTTCTCGACGAGAGCAGCCTCAACTCGGCTAGTCCTTCTGACATTTGCCGCTGGCTCTGATGTCTCTTTAGTGGTTAAACATAAGATATAATTAGTTTTGGGTAAATCTAACAGGTAATCTTTGGTCTTTACTCTATTAATCTATTAATATGTTAAAATGAAAATGAAAAGATTCAATACTGTTTGATATAATATTTCGTTTCATTGTAATGTATGTACATTCCTGGACTACATTTCTTGCGGCTATTGATATGTTTAAATGAAAACGAAAAGAGGCAGTGGTATTTGATATAATAAAAAATTAAGGTGTTGCAATAGCCAGTCAAAGTCCAGACCTCATTCTGAATGAAATGCCGTGGTGAGAGCTGTGCATAAACAAAAGCCCACAAACCTCAATAAACTGGAGCAATGTTACAAAGAAGAGTGGGTCAAAATTCCTCCATAACGATGTGAGAGACTGCAAAAGTCATACAAAAAATGAGTACTTCTAACTATTGCTGTTAAAAGCGAATGCACAGGCAATTGAATCATAGGGTGTCCTAATTTTGTCACACGTGGCTTTTCCATCTTGGCTTTTTTTTGTTAAATACGTAATGACACAGTGTGATATGTCATGTTGTTCATCTAAGGATTTATTTTCCCAATTTTAAGACCTGCCAAGGACCAGATAATTTTTGTCCTGACACGGAAAACCGTGGAATTCAATAGGGTGTCCTAACTTTTTCACATGACTGTATATGTGGAAAAATGACTATTTTCAACCCTCATTCCGGCCCTCTGTCTAAAATGACCTGGTTTTAAAGGGTTAGTTCACCCAAAAGTGAAAATTAGCCCATAAATTACTCGCCCTCAAGGCATCCTAGGTGTATTTGACTTTCTTCTTTCAGACGAATAAATAATAATATAATATAATATAATATAATCAATTTAATATAGCTTGCGCCAACGGTTGTACATGGAAGCAGCTCCGGGAGCATGATCTATGAGGTCAGCGCATGCGCCGGTGAGTCTCGTGAAAGCCAACGTTTGTTTACAGGTGCAAAGGAAGCAAAGTTTCTTTACTTTAGCAAAAGAAAACCAGTCTACTCTTGGCTTATATCGAAATCCTCTGACATTCTTCTTTACAAATCCTCGTTTTGTACTTCTTATAAGTGACCGGTGTTTTGTTTTCATCTCTCCCCTGCGCTTCCGGTTCGTCACTTCTGAGCGGCGCATGCGCAGTGCTGAACTCATACGTCATCCGCCCGGAACTGCTTCCATTTACAACAGTGAGCGCAAGCTAGATTAAATTGATTATTACGTTTTATTATTATTATTTGTTATTTTTCTTTCAAAAACGCATTGATTCGCTACAGGAGGCCTTGTTCAATTCGATTTCTCATGACATGAAGAAAAATGTCATTGTAATTTTAAAATGTAATTGAGTCTTTGAATTATCAGCATGTCATATATTTCATTTGATTCCAAATTTCTATTTTTTGCTTCAGAGGAGGAAAAAGTTAATAGTGCAAAAGATCATGAGCAGATGTTGGACAATTTTGTGACTTTCTTCATTGCTGGTGAGTTACGGCTACATTTGATTTTTGTTCATAAACGCTTGCCGTTATAAACAGTGCTTGTTTTTGTTGCAGGGCAAGAGACAACAGCCAATCAGCTCTCATTTGCAATCATGGAATTAGGGAGACATCCTGAGATATATAAACGGTTAAAAAAAACACTTCTTGAAAATGTTGACCTTTTCCATCCGTCTTGCATTACAATGCTTTCTAGTGAATTTCCTTTCCTTCCCAGGGCTAAAGCAGAGGTGGATGAAATCCTTGGGACAAAAAGAGACATTTCATATGAAGATCTTGGAAAATTCACCTACTTGTCTCAGGTGGGTCTGCAGAGATGTTTTTTTACATGCTACAAACACAAAGCATTTTGTATCCATTTTTTAAATGGTCTTTGTTTTTTACTCGATGCTTCAGGTGTTGAAGGAAACGCTGCGTCTGTACCCGACTGCTCCAGGAACCAATCGCTGGCTACATGAGGACATGGTTATAAATGGGCTGAAAATCCCAGGGGGCTGCTCTGTTGCTGTGAGTATCGGCTCATTCTGTAGCCATCATTGTACTGGCCCAGAGCAGCTATTTCTAGTAATACTAGAAAAAATACAGCGCTTGTCAATTAGAATGGAGAAAAAAAAATGCATTTTTTATTAGATTAGATTAGATTTAATAACATTTCAAATCAGCAATAAATTCTGTCAGCAATGGTGTCATAACTTTTACTTATTTCATTGTATATGATTAAATGAGTATTTTGAATAATTGTTGGCTCTTTCCATACAGTTCAGTGCTTATGTCTCCCAAAGAATGGAGAAGAATTTTAAAGATCCGTTGAAGTTTGATCCAGAGAGATTTGATGTGAACGCCCCAAAGTAAGTCATTATCACAGTCTCATTTTACCCTCTGTTTTAGTATTTATGCCACATTCACGGCATAATGACCGTAATTCTGAGATGCCAACCTCTGACGTTTACAGCCTTTGTTTCCAAATTATGAATTTCTGTGGTAAAGAAATTAATCTGTGTAATTTGTATAATCATTAGACAAAGCTATAATACAACAACCCTGTGCACCTTTTTAACTGTGCTATAGCTACATTAAACTGTATTGTATATCTGTTTGTATTGTATGAGTGTTTGTTATGTGATATTTCAGGGTTCAGAGTCTACAAGTTGTAATTACAGGTTCAACTAGGACATGAGCTCTTTTTACAGTTGTAATCATGTAATTACGATATGTGCTACTTGAACACACCTTTATGTTGCGACATTTTGACATAAAATCCATTGATTTCTAATTGTGTTCTTATCTGTAAGGCCTTATTACTGCTACTATCCATTTGCACTTGGTCCACGAACCTGTCTGGGGCAGGTCTTCTCACAGGTGATGAAGTACACAACACACACGCACATTTGTACCTACCTTTCTCCTTCAGAATTTTTGGACTTACAGAACATGCAGGCTCATGTTTTGTATACTTTTAGATGCTTGATTGATACTTGTTTTCCAAGTGCTAAATTTGCTGTGATCTTGACAACTCTTTTGTCTTTCTACATTCAGATGGAGGCAAAAGTCGTGCTTGCCAAACTGCTTCAGAGATTTGAGTTCAGTCTGGTTCCTGGACAGTCTTTCGATATTAAAGACACGGGAACTCTGCGGCCCAAGAGCGGCATGATCTGCTACATTAAACACTGCTCATAGGACATGTTTAAGGCCCTTATTTTGTGCCAACTGTGAATACATCACCTTCAAACATTAACCTGAGCACAGAAGTTGTAACATGCTAATCATTTATGGTACATCTGCACTTTTAATTGAATTCAGTTTTATCGTAGTCCTTCATTATGGTGATTTAAGGTTTTTGTTTAAATACATTATGTAGATTATATAAATATGATTATTATATAAACATAACAGGCTACATGCACAATGAGAATCAGCTTAATCAGTAAAAAGTGTCTGGTATATGTTTTAAAATGTCAAAATCTTAAAACATTCTGTTTATCTGATTTGAAAATGGGCTTATAAATGGGTTTATATTACACGCTATATGCTGCTTAACCAAAGAGATTAAACACAGTGCAATACAAAATAAAAGATGGTTTGATCTTACAGTGTGTCATATTAGAATTAGGTGAAACTATAACGTTTTTTTTACTTAAAGGGGTCCTATTATGCTTTTTCACTTTTTCAACTTTAGTTAGTCTGTAATGTTGCTGTTTGAGCATAAAAAAGATCTGCAGAGTTACAAAGCTCAAAGTCCAATTCAAAAGGAGATATTTTATTTAACAGAAATCACTTTTCAAAAACTACAACGAACGACTCGTTTGGACTACAATGCATATTTTCCGGGATTTGTGATATCACAAATACCGACGAATGGGACAAGACCTGGTTGAGATGCACTAGAGAAGACAACGAGTGTTATCACTATGTCGGAGACACGCTGGCTTTCCCAAGGCAGACGAACTTAGAGTGGTTACAATCATCCAGGTTTCAATCAAAATTGATTTGATTTTGACGCAATATTTACACTGACGCTCGCAGGCGGCTATGGTAAGGGGCGTGACATTTCCCGACCAGGCGCCGAGTGCTGCCAATCACAACACACACTGACCCAGCTGACCAATCACCACACACACTGACCCAGCTGACCAATCACCACACACACTGGCCCATCTGACCAATCCCAACACACACTGACCCAGCTGACCAATCACCACACACACTGACCCAGCTGACCAATCACCACACACACTGACCCAGCTGACCAATCACCACACACACTGACCCAGCTGACCAATCACCACACACACTGACCCAGCTGACCAATCACCACACACACTGACCCAGCTGACCAATCACCACACACACTGACCCAGCTGACCAATCACCACACACACTGACCCAGCTGACCAATCACCACACACACTGACCCAGCTGACCAATCACAACCCATTTTGTATTTCAGAAGGCGGGCCTTCATTTGATGCAGGAACTATTCGAGCCGTTCATGCCAGACTGAGGAGAGAGGTGTTGTAATAGTGTAAAATATGCAGCCTAGTATGAGAGCCTGTTCTAGTACACCCCTAAAACAAAACCAAGACTTTGTAAAAGAGCATAATAGGACCCCTTTAAGTAAAAAGATAATATATTACGAACATGTCCGAAGAAAAGCAACCATCGTGCAGGCCCCAGCGAGGATCGAACTCGCGACCCCTGGTTTACAAGACCAGTGCTCTAACCACTGAGCTATGGAGCCAGCTGCGATAATCGTGCCGAAGAAAATGCTATTTCATACAAAGTTATTATATGACATAATATATGTTCACATATGATTTGTCTAGTAGTGTAAGCAAAACATTTTTAGCACTTTCTTTGACGTTGTGCGTTATGTGCCAAAAAGCATATGACGATTTACAACTAAAAAAATTAAATATAATAATTAATTGAGATCGAGATTAATTATTAAGGTATTCAAATAATAGGAAATATTTTATGCACCAGCTAACCTAAAATTAGTTTTTATGGATTGTTAGTCGATGTTTTCGTCGCCTATAAGTAATACCCGGATGGAATCTTTGTGTCCTCTAGAGGGCGCAGTTCATCAACAAACTTTTTTTTTTTATCATTAATTCAAGGTATTAATGTTTGACTACAAAACCACCACTGGATCTGCACCCCTTTACCTAAATTCATTACTTCAGACTTATGTGCCCTCTAGAAGCTTGTGTTCTGCAAGTGAACGGCGCTTTATTGTGCAATCCCAAAGAGGCACAAAATCCCTTTCACAGACTTTTAAATTAAATGTTCCCTCCTGGTGGAATGACCTGCCCAACTCAATCCGTGCAGCTGAGTCCTTAGCCATCTTCAAGAATCCTCTTCCATCTTTATTTGAACCTCTAGCTCAAGCACTCTCTATTCTAATAAAAAAAAAACTTGTCCCTTTTAGACTTGCACTCTATTCATTTACTAAAAACTTACACTAGCTTTTCTAATCTTTTTGTATTCTATTTGTTTTCTTTTTATTTATTATACAGTTAACAAAAGCAAAAAAGGCCTCTAACACTAGCTTGCTCAATTATTTCTCTATTCCATCTGTTTTCTTTTTCTTTTTTATATAATTCAAATAAAACTTGTGCTGTGTTAAGCTAACTGAGACTAGCACTTGCATATCATTGTCCTCATTTGTAAGCCGCTTTGGATAAAATGTACTAAATGACTAAATGTAATCGTGGTTTTAAATACATTTGAACAATTACTCAAAATGCCATGTTAAGGTCTCTCTGAAATTTAAACGTGGGACTATGCAGTGGCTAATGCGGTCCCGAAGAACCACAGTCCTGCAGAGTTTCACTCCAACCCTCCAAACACACCTGATCAAGCTGACCAAGGTGTAAGGGTTACTGGAAAGCTAGGTGAATTTTTATCAAGGTTGGATTCAAACTATTTGTTTGAAGCCATATTCTCGTTGATTGAAGTAAATGCTACATTTGCCAACATTTAATAATAAATATTGAATACATTATTGTTGTATACTTTTTCACAAAGCACATTTTGTGAGAAAATAGAAGCATGAGATTGAGCCAAGACATGTCTCTTAACATGTTAATACAAAATAATTCAGTGATGCAGTTCTTTTTTCAGTGATGCAAATCTACGGTTAATATTAAAGAAGTCAATTTAATTTAACAGTTTAATTTAATTTAAATTAAATTAATTTGTACTTTTTTTTCCCCTAGGTTAAAATAGTCTCAAATGTCCTGATTTTCCTGTCCTGATTTTTTTTTTTTTATTCATTCATTCATTCATTCATTTTTGTAGGTATGTTGCTAATGCCATATTTCTACTCTTGACAGACACTTTTATCCAAATTAACTTACATTGCATTTAAGTATATATATATATATATATATATATATATATATATATATATATATATATATATATATATATTATGTTTAATGTTTCCTGTGTTCCTGTGTAAATCTTAAGTAATTCTTACTTTCCCTGTTCTTGCAATATTCAAGTGTTCATGTCCCCGAGTAATATCTGCATCCACCGAAGTCTGAAGAGTACACAATATGCTAGTAGAGAGCAATCCATATGAGAGAGAGGTCTGGTGTGGAGGGGGGATCTGGAACTGACTTCTGTACAGTTTGTCACATCTCTTGATTATCTGTCTTCATGAACTGCCCTGAAATACAATTCAGTTAGCTAAAGGTCTAGGATTTTTCTTTCAATGTAAAATATCTCTGGTACCCATCTGCTCCTCTCTCACTTTACATTATAACCAAATATAGATCTTTAAAATGTGTGGTGTAATAACAGAGTAGTGCACTGAAGACTTACCAGGGTTTACACATTGCCTTCGCTTAAAAATACATACATACCGCATAAATAAATAAATAAATAACATTTCAAAAGTAACATTAAAAAATGTGAAAAGTAATTATAATGAAATTAAATAGAAATGAATAATTTAATCATAATTAAAATTATTATAGTCTATTATAGTCTACATTTTAAAAATAGAATTACAATCTGTTTGTGGGAATGTGGTGCTGTCTCTTTAAGAGGGCAGCTCCTGCCTTTTGCCTCTCATCTCTGAACCTGCTCCGATCCGCTCGGGTCATTTCACACACCCGTCTAAAGAAGGAGCCGAACCCGAGACCCTGAGCATCGACACGCGCGAGGAGCTCCACGGCAAACCCCTTCGGATCTGTCTCTGGAGCTTCCGATGCAGTGTAACGTGAATGCAGGCATGTCTTTAATGAAGGCGCCGTTTATGGTTGTTACTTTTTGAAATACAGCTCTTGAAACCTGTAAGATCACGCGTGTCTGAAGAAATGATTTTCTTGAGAAAAACATTTACAACGATGCTCGTGGATTTGTATGTCACGCATAGTTTAGGATATTTAAATACACGCATGATTGTGAAGTTATCGGTAAGTGAGGCGTTAATAAAGGTGAAGGTTTGAAAATTAATGTGTGTGGAATACGAGTCAGTTCATGCATAGTCTTCCATTATAAAGGATTCCTGTAATTATTTACATCATCTATTAATCTGGTTTTTAATGCGTTTTTACATTGCATTTTTTGGTGGGATTGGAACACAGCGCTATGTTAGATCTATGTTGAATATTTAACCCTGAGACTGTTCCTCTGTAAGCATCATGATGGCAAAACACTGTCCTAATGATGACCTGAGTAAGATCTCTGATGATGAACTGGTCAGATGGAGCAAAGAGGACTTGATCAAGAGACTGAGAAGGGCTGACAGTGAGAAGATGAACCGAATGCTGGAACATGGGAACATGATGAAGGACGTCAACCGCAGACTGCAGGTGCACCTCCATGAGATCCGTAATCTAAAGGAGATCAACCAGAAACTGCAAGACGATACCCAGGAGCTCAGGGAGCTCTGCTGCTTTCTCGATGATGATCGGCAGAAAGGTAAGAAGCTATCTCGGGAATGGCAGAGGTTTGGGAGGTATACGGCCAGCTCCGTGTGGAAGGAGGTGAGCACCTATCAGCAGAAACTCAAGGAGCTGGAAGGCAACCAGGAAAACGTCCTCCGGGAGAATGCAGAACTAAAGGAGATCATTCTCATGTTGGATGAAGATAGGAATGGCGCAGGATCTAGAAGCTCTATAGACAGCCAGTCTAGTCTGAGCAACCTGAATGGAGGTTCGAGCATTGTCAGAGATGTTGGCGATGGGAGCAGTACCTCCAGCGGTGGAAGTGCTGGCAGCCCAGACCATCATCATAATCACATACACAAGACTGTAGAAACCAAGACTGGCACCATACGGCGATCAATGGATGATCTCTCCGCTCCACATCATCACAGGAGCATTCCCAATGGACTCAATGGTGAGTATATGACCGTTTTTGCCGCCATTGTTGTTTTAAAAGAGACTGTGAAATCAAAATGGGAGTTTTGTGGCTTTTAAGGCCATTCGTATATTAGTACGCTCTTAAAAATCTGACGTTGAAGTCAAAAGTTTACATACACCTTGCAGAATCTGCAAAATTGTAATTATTTTACCAAAATAAGAGGGATCATACAAAATGCACGTTATTGTTTATTTAGTACTGACCTGAGTAAGATATTTCAGATAAAAGAAGGAAAGGAGGGTTGGGGGGTGAAAACTTTTGAAAAGAATGAAGATGTGTACATGTTTCTTATTTTGCCTAAATATCATATTTTTTCATTTAGTACTGCCCTTCAGAAGCTACTGAAGATACTTGCATGTTTCCCAGAAGACAAAATAAGTTTTCATTGTTGGAAAGGGTTCAAATACACGCAATGCTGGAAAACCAAATAATTTGTGGGACCTGAAGGGTTTTTCTAAAGAACAGTGGGTAGTTTAACTTCAGAACAAACAAGGAACTCATGAACAACTAATCATTCTGGTAACAACACAGTATTAAGAATCAAGGGGATGTAAACTTTTGAATGGGGTCATTTTTTATAAATTTAACTATTACAGTATTTTCTCTTGTGGACTATATGTAAACATCTTTTATGTGAAATGTCTTATTCAGGTCCGTACTAAATAAACAATAACATGCATTCTGTATAATTTTGGTCAAATAATTAACATTTTGCAGATTCTGCAAGGTGTATATAAACGTTTGACTTCAACTGTATCGGGGGTATACATATTTAAAGGGATAGTTCACCAATAGAAAAGAAAATATTTTGTTAATTTACTCACCCTCAAGATGTTGGTGACTTTTTTCTTCTTCAGTAAAACAGTAAAAAAGATTTTTAGCTGAACCCATGGTCCTTAATGATTCATAAAATCATCATTCAATGGCTGCCATCACTTTGAGAGTCAAAAAAAGCCATATTGGGCAACATAAAATTACTGGTTCAAATAACTGATTGACCAGTTCGAAACGTGGGTGTTTTATATGTCTAAAGCCTATAAAATGAATAGTCGTAATCAACTCTCATTTTAGACATACTGTGAGAAACCATAAAAACTTTAATTTCACCGCTTCATTCAAGTGTTTGGTTCAACTTCATGCATACTCGTACCAGCAGTTCATGAGTTAACTGGATCACATACACTTGTATTTTGGTCTAAAAGTGAGTTTTGAACTAAGTTTTGATTGAGTAACTTGTAGATCTGTGCTGCTCGAGCCGTGAATCGTTTCAGACGGTTCAGTCCGATTTGTTGAACTGGTTCATCCAATTTCTTAAAAAGAGCCAGTTCAAAAGAATTGATTCTTTTGTAAACCAAACCGGACTGTTTACTAGAGGCTATTGATTACAGGCAATAATGTTGTAAATAATGTTCATTTTCTTGCACAGACTGATCGTTTCGCTTCATAAGACCTCAATATAGTATCAGGAGCTGCAAGTATTAATTTTATATTGCCTAATACGCTTTTGTGACTTTTAAAGTGACGGTTGCCGTCGACGGGGAGTTTTTTTATGGCATTTTATTAATCACCAAGGATAATGGTTTCAGCTAAAAAAATGTTCTTACTGTTCTAATGAAAAGAAAAGTCATCTACATCTTGGATGATCTGAAGGTGAGTAAGCTAACAGCAAATTTTCTTTTTTGGGTGAAACCAAAAATACTGATTGCTGATCTTTCACTAATGGGCATGTGCAATTATTTTTCTTCAGTCAAATTCTATTTAGAATGAGTATGTCCCACATATTAAACAGCTGGAGTTCTCATAATCCGGTAAATGAAGTTACTCTTCTATTGGGTTATTGGGATTCCAACACATTCTAGTCTCAAGTAGAGATCATGTGAGTTAAATGTCTGTGAGTTGAAACATTATTTACAGTTTTAATTGGAAATATGTAAACAGAGAAAACTGAACTTGTCATGCTACTAATCATTAAAGGGGTGGTTCAGTGGGGTTTTTCTAGGCTTGATTGTGTTTATGGGGTGCAGTCTAACGTGTTAATGCTTAGTTTTTTTAAAAACGCATTATTTTTCACATAATTTACCTTTATTCCACACCACTCTGTCCCTTCTCTGAGAAACACGCTGATCATTTCCTTCTTTTATGAAGCCCCTCCCTCAGAAATAGGCGATGGGCTCTGATTGGTTAGCTAGTCCAGTGTGTTGTGATTGGCTAAACCGCTTCTAGTGCGCGTCTCCGCCCCTCACCTCAGCGGCATGTGCTTGTATTGTAAACAATGGCGTCGTTAATATCACTTATCAGTTTGAGCCCGATTGAGAAGCAAAGGATATTATTGAAGAGGATCGTGCAGAACCTGTGCAAGCAAGGCTTTTAATGGTAGGCCTATGTTTTTTGTTTGTTGTTGTCTAATACTTTTAGATACGCTGTTATTTGTAAATGTTACTGCTTATGTTAGCTTTTAATATACGGTTTTATCCTGATTAAAGCTTTAAAGGGGTCATATGATGCTGCTAAAAATAACATTATTTTGTGTATTAGGTGTAATGAAATGTGTTTATGCGGTTTAAAGTTAAAAAAACACATTATTTTCCACATACTGTACATTATTGTTAAGAGAAAGGAAAAATTGACATCGCATCATATGACCCCTTTAATACAGTGCGGCAACTGCACCACGTCCATGTTTAATGCTTCTCGTAGCTATGTGAAAATAAGTGTATAATTGTAACAGTTCATTGTTGGAACTGAGCTGAATGAGAGAGAGAGAGAGATGAAGAGCAGGGGGACGTGAGGAACAGTATTGAGAACCGCTGCTTTAGAACATTGATTTTGAAACTTGTGAATCCATTAGAATCGTTAGAAGACAGAATCACGATTCATATATGAATAGATTTTTACGTGCATCTCTAGTTTTCTCTTCCTCTTCTCTAAAGCAGCGCAGCATGGCCTCGCCCCCTTTGCTGCCTTTTCCCGAGGGCGGGGTTTATCTGGGTTTGTTACATCACGAACCCGGGAAGTAACTTCTTGTAGTCCCTACCAGCCATTTTTGTAGGCATTAAACTGCCAGAATTTTAAAAGATGACATCTCTGTTTGCATTGAACTTTCAGCTTCGTAACTTTGCAGATATTGTTTATGCTCAAACAGCAACATTACACACTAACTAACGTTAAAAAAGTGAAATCGCAATGAACCACCCCTTTAATATGTTTGAGATTGGAGGTTTAAGCCGTTTTAAAATGCTCCTGTGAAACTATAGTTAATAACACTTGCAACAGTGAAATGGAAGAATTAATTTCAAACAGCTATTTAACTAATACTAAGATTATAAGGGTAAATGACCCGAGCGTTTTAAGTTCTGTACGTAATATGAAACTAGAAGAGCAAACTTGCAAAGTAGCTTGGGTGAACTATGTACAAATATAAATGATTATACTAATTGTATATACTTAACAGGCAACAGTAAATGTAAGAGTTTAGGTCTTACAATATTACTGAAGATGTAGCTAATTACCCCAGTGCTAATTACCTAAATCACCTCAGATCAATAAAACAACAGTAGTGTAATGTGAGTGTGGCCTTGAGTGAAGGTCCCGTGTTAATTGCTTTTACAAGTAAATCGTGTGTATGGATTTTGGATTTGCTGATGGTCTTAGTTTTCTCGTGCCGTGGAAGGGCTCACAAAAAGAAATCAATGCGATCACACTATTCAAGCCCTAAAAACCCACATGAGCTGACTGTTTGATAACTGTAATGAAATGGCATGTTAAGCCTGGCTTTAGCTGCACTTCAGCAGCACTAGGATTTCAGATGAAAGGACAGTATTGTGCTGAACACAAGGTGTCCTGACTCTCAGTTCTGAAGTGGCAAGTGAAGATGCTTCATGATGGGCTGGCTAGCTTTTGTCTGCACAATTGCTTTTAATATATATGGCGATTGGCAATGGTTTGTAAGTACAGTATGACCTAACAGTGTTTAAAACTACAGCGATTGTTTGATAGTGTATCATTTTTAGGTCTCACAACTGCTGTCTTAGACTTATGAAGACTGTTAAGTCACATTTCACCCCAAAATCTAAATAATGTTTTGTTTTTTTTGTTGTTTTTTTATAACACATACATATATATTTTGCCTTATTTTATTAGTATTTATTTATTTATTGATATTATTGGGACTATTTCGATTTTTTGCATTGTGAAAATTAAGCAGATTCCTCAAAAAAAAATCACCACAATGACGACTATTAATAATAATAATAATAAAAAATGCTTTTGAAAGGTATTTATACTTGCTATTATTTATTCTGTTGCTCTTAAGACGGAGCGTAGCTATTAGGTTGTAAGCTCTCCACAATGTCTAGTTGTATAATATGAGTTTTAGTTTCAACGATCCAATTATAGCCTTCAAATTAGTGAGTAGAAGTTGTGAAATGCTGTGAATTTCATTTTATCCTATTAAGGTTGATTCTAAGGTCTTTTGCCTCACATAAAACATTAGCTTATTAAAGGTGGGGTAAATGATTTCTGGTAGCCAATGTTGACATTTCAAATCACCAAAACAAACACGCCCCTACCCCAAAAGGGTCTCACGCCTATTTTGATAGCTCCGCCCCACACATACGTACGCAACCGAGGCAACGATTAGTTCTGTGAAACAAAGCAAAATCAATGTTACACCATGTCTACAACGGACACGAGCGGCGCAACAAAATACTATAGAACTCATTATAATCAGTGGTGCTGTCTACATTATATGCGGCACGACACGACAAATCCCCGACAGAAAACTGCTGCTGCGTTCTATTTATGACGTATTGACAGAAAAAACCCTTCCGTTCCTTGAGTTCTCTCCAGCGCTGAAAAGCTGATACGATATTTACGCGGGTCCTACTTCTTGCCTTATCGTAAGCCTTCTTTTGTTCCGCAGACGTTTTCTGCTTTTTTTTTATCCGCCATCTCTATCTTTCTGTCGCTCGGCTCGG